CGACATCGTTCGGGACAGGGCTCGTTGTCTTTCGGATATGTCCGAGGAGGACATTGCAACAGAGCTTAAGGAGCAGGCTGTTACAGCAGTGAAACGTTTCACCATCAAGAGAGATGGTGTCGTCATTAACACCAACACCTATCTCCTGACATTTGCTCTTGCAACCATTCCCCAATCAATTAAAGCAGGATACTTAAACATCGTGGAGGTGTATGTCCTCAATTCACTCCGGTGGTTATACATGTCAACGTTTTGGCAATGGGTCGAAATCATGTCGTAACTCTGTGGTGTGTCACCGCTGTGGAGACCATCATGATGATACAGACTGTCAAAAAGAGTATAAATGCGCAAATTGTGAAGGTCCTCATCCTTCTTCATCCAGATCCTGCCCTGTGTGGCAAAGGGAAGCGAAAATTATTAAACTAAAGTGTGAAAAAAGTATTTCATACCTAGATGCAAAAAAACTGTACGCAACTCAGAACTCAACTCCTTTGAGTATAACATATTCCGCTGCAGTCACACGTGCTATAGCAACATCATATATTGCTTGTCAGACTGACTTGACATGGATCAAGTCAGAAAGACCTGTTTCAGCCAGTCCACAAAAGTCTCCAGCTACTGAACCTATGTCACCAGCTACACAGACTAGTTCTTCTTCTCAGACTGTTAGTCAACCTGAGCTACAGTCAAAATCAGTACATAAACAGCCTACCTCAGCCAGTTCATCAAAACCAAAAGGAAAAAAATTAAACAGAAAAGAGACGCCTTCTGTCCCTTTACCTTCAGAGCTCCCTCTAGGGAACCCCTTTGGTCCTCTCGACAGAGAGGTCATACTGTCCTCACAGGACAAGCCTAACTCACTCACTCACTCACAGGACAAGCGGAGGAATAGCTCCTCCTCCCATTCACGAGTGAGATCTCCAATTGAGCCATCATCGTGAGTCAATTGTCTCATATAATTCAGTGGAATTGGAGAGGATTGAAGAATAACTTCAATGAAATGCAATTACTCATTCAAGATCTTCAACCGTCAGCGTTATGTCTTCAGGAGACATACCTTAAAACTACTGATACCTTTAACTTAAGACGGTTTAGTAATTATCATTCCTTCTCCCCTCCAGGCGATAAATCTACTGCAGGTGCCTCTATTTTGGTTACGCCTGAGTGTCATTCATAGTCCTGTCACTTTAAACACCGATCTTCAAACTGCTGTTCGTCTGACTCTGCACATTGCTCTGACATTGTGCAGCTTGTATATACCTCCCTCATCAAATATTCAACAATCCGATCTTCAAAATCTGTATGATCAACTTCCGAAGCTATTTCTCATTATGGGCGATTTTAACGGACACAACACGCTTTGGGGAAGTGCCCATAATAATAACAAAGGTAAAATCCTCGAAGAATTCATTTCTGATAATAATTTATGTATTTTGAATGACGATTCAGCCACTTATTTACATCCAGCTACGGGAACATATTCTTCCCTAGATCTGTCACTTGCCGATTCCATCTTATATAATGAATTTAACAGGATGGTTCATGATGACCCATGTGGTAGTGATCACTTCCCCACGATTCTCAAAACAATTAACCCTGGTGATGATCCCCCTTCATCAAGAAGGAACCTCACCAGGGCTGATTGGTGATTATATGAAGCTTTGTGTGCTGAACACTTAACACATGAAGTATTTGCGAACAGCGAAGATCCTATACAATTGTTTTGTGATCTCCTCAATGACATTGCTGATCAAACTATACCTAAGTCCTCTGCAATTCCGCATGTTCGTAAACCATGGTTTACTAATGACTGTAAACAGGCCACAAAGAGTAGGAAGAAAGCTGAGAAGTATTTTCGCCGACATCCTACTGTCCATAATTTAGATAAAGTTAAAATTTTAAATGCCAAGGCTCGACGCGCATTTAAGCAGAATAAGCGTCAGTCTTGGAGGAAATATGTTTCCAAGATAAATTCCCGCACACCAATTTCAAAGGTGTGGAACATGATCCAAGGAATTAAGGGCAAAGGTTCCAAATCTACTGTTCACCATCTGAAGGATGGTGACAATATATTAACTGGTAAGTCTGACATTGCCAATAAGCTTGGTGAAACTCTCGCCAAACACTCTTCTTCGTCGAATTACGTCCCTGAATTTCAACAATATCAGAAACAACAGGAGAAGAAGAGAAAACATTTTAACTCAGACAATGGCGAAGACTATAATGAATTATTTTCATTACATGAGCTACATACTGCCTTTGAGCAAGCTCATGATACAGCAACAGGAGCTGATAATATACACTATCAGCTCTTGAAGCATTTACCGGAATCATCTTTGGAGACTCTTCTAAATATTTTTGATGTAATATGGACTTCAGGGAATTTCACAACTTCGTGGCGTAAAGCCATAATAGTCCCTATACCAAAGCCTGGCCGGGATCATACTGATCCGTCTAATTACAGACCAATCTCTTTAACGAGTTGTGTCTGTAAAACCATGGAACGAATGGTAAACGATAGAACGAATGGTAAACGATAGATTAACACGGTATCTTGAAACCAATAACCTTATAACCAATATTCAATGTGTTTTCAGGAAACATCGTAGTACCATTGATCATTTGGTACGTTTGGAATCCTTTGTTAAAAATGCTATAGTAAATAAACAACATGCTGTATCAATTTTCTTTGATCTTGAGAAAGCTAATGATACGAACTGGATGCATGGCATTTTGAAGGATTTACATGATTTTGGTTTGAGAGGCCGTTTGCCACTTTTTATATCACAGTTTTTAAAAGACAGGCAATTTCAAGTCCGAGTGGGTTCAACCCTGTCTGACCATTATAATCAGGATCAGGGTGTCCCCCAAGGCAGTATTTTGTCTGTCACTTTATTTAGCATTAAGATCAACAGATTATCAGATTATCCAAGGTTTTAAATGATTCAATTGATGGATTACTTTTTGTGGATGATTTTAACATTTCTTGTCGCGGTAAGAATATGCATACTATTGAACGGCAACTGCAGTTGTGTTTAAATAAAACACATAAATGGTGTCTTGAAAATGGCTTAAAGTTTTGTCAATCAAAAACTAATTGCATACATTTCTGCCGTAAACGACCACATAACGACCCAGAGCTGTTTTAAATGGCACTCCCATCAAGGTTGTAAAAGAGGCCAAGTTCTTAGGTCTGATTTTCGACTCCCATTCAACCTTTCTTTCGCATATTAAATCCTTAAAAACTAAATGCATGAAGGCACTCGAGTTTTCTAAAACTATTAGATTCTGTCCACCACAAAGGTCTGAGACTTTGTCTTGGGTCATTCAGAACATCTCCTGTTGACAGTCTCTACGTCGAGGCAGATGAACCATCTATGAACCAAACTATCATTACAGTTTATTACCAAACTATATTCTAACGAGTCTAATCCTGCATTTCACTGCATCTTTAATCCTCTTTATGAGGATTTGTAGAAGAAGATTTTTTGTTCCGCCTCTTGGGCTCAGGATTAAGCATTTCATTACTGCTGCCGGCATTGAGCTGGAAAATATATCTCATTCCCGTCTTCTTTCTTCTCCTTGGCAATTGGTTAGGCAACAAGTCGACCTAACACTCACGAAATTTTAAAAATCAGAAACTAATGACTTACTATATAAACAAGAATATAATCAATTAAAAAGTAAATATAATACATACAAATCCTTATTTACAGATGGGTCCAAGGATGGTGGCGCGGTTGCTTGTGCCACTGTCATTGGGTCCAAAACAATATATTCCAGAATACCAAATGACAGTTCAATTTTCACAGCAGAAGCAAACGCAATACTAACAGCTCTTAAATATATTAATAAACACCGTAAATATAAACAATATATCATCTTTTCAGATTCTCTTTCGTGTCTTCAGGCTATTAAAAATCTTTCTTGCAAACATCCAATTTTATTAGAAATTATTGAATTGTACAATGAACTTGCTACTGGCCAATGCGACATCGTCTTTTGTTGGTTACCCAGCCACGTTGGCATTTCTGGGAACACCATGGCTCATCTTGCTGCTAAGGCAGCCCTCAACAAGTCTGTGACACCACTTCTTATCCCATATTCTGATTACAAAGCTAGCATTAGAACCTACATCCGTGATCTGATGTAGAAGAGGTGGGACACCCAAGTAGGTATTAAAAAATTACATGCAATAAAACCCTACATTGGTTACACTTACTTGGGTTGTCAGTCCAGATTTGAAGAGGTCGTTATGCGGCGATGTCGCATTGGCCATACTAGATATACTCATGAATATTTATTGAAAGGCGAAGATCCACCGTTTTGCATCCCTTGCGATGAAAAAATCACAGTCAAGCATGTCTTGCTTGACTGCATTGAATATTCCATCACAAGGGATAACTATATCAAAGTAAACACTATGAAGGATCTTTTTAATAATGTCAGTTCTCATTTAATTATTGCATTTTTAAAAGAATTAGATTTGTTAAGTGATTTGTAAATAGATATATATTTTATTATTGGTAGTTTGAATTAGTAACTGAGATTGTTAGTGGCTGTACCCTCAAAGGGGATTGAAGTAGCGTAAAATTATTGTACGTAAGTCCCAAAACATTTCAAGTCAGTTTAAGTGTACCAAGTTTTTAATCGTAGTATTTTTTGTGTTTTTAATGTATGGCTAAATTTCAGCATCAACGCCAATGGCTGAAGGGATGGTGTAAATCCAGCTAGGGTCCATGCAGGTAGCAAAAGTAATGTAACTCCCCATGGGCCTTAGTATGGCGATCTACGTTCGGTTGTTGGCGATCTATAGCCCGTATTTTATATTGTATTGTCTTCTTTAATTGGAATAACTTTTCGCTAGTTTTATATTTATAACTGTGATTCTCTAGTCTGTTTACTCTCCATCGTCGACAGGTTTTAATCTTCAAAATGTTTCTACTTTTTATTGCATGGCTTGTTTTCGTCACGATATGTCTGCAATATTGCCGATGTGACGTTAAATATTAACTCACTCACTCACTATATTGAAATTACAAGGATGCACTGAACACAAAATGTGTGTAAAGAGAAACGGCAAAACCCTTTCCACATTCGAAAAATATCTCTGCTTAAAGCACAATCGATTTACAATTCTGACTGACCCTGCATCCAGCAGTATCACAGCTGTACGACACGGTCTCTATAAACAATTGGACAATCCAGTGACTGACACCATGATCTACGTCGACCAAGCATGTGTTTGTGAGTCACTATCAATACCAGGTGAGCGTATCCTGCCCCACCGGTGGCACTCGTCGTACACATATGTGTGTGCATATTTCGATAAAGGGACCACCGGCCCATTATACATGTAAGTTAGTGCTACAATACGTTGACGAAGCGCCATAACATTCTCATATACAGGTGTTGTGTTTAATGCAGTATTACATATAATGGACATTGATAGCATCAACACGATGCAAAATATTTGTTTCGTTTCTTCTCAGCTAAAAAAAATATATTTCACAAGATTAGTTATGATAACATTGTTTTTTTCTGAGAATAATGAGATAAGCTTAATGTACGATGGAAAAACATAATAAAATTCTTGCAAGAGATCTGATTGCAGGTCGTGATAAAATGGACATTCAAGGCAGAAATGTAATTCGGGTTCAATAGTAGGTCTAACACAGAAAGAGCAAAGACGATCTTTGCGGTCAAAGTTTGAGACGTATTCCCTACTCAATCATTAGATAATGGTTGGAGCAAGCGGAACTTACACAATGCAATGCAGTAAGATTTTCCTATGACACTCTAAAATAATATTCTTCAGAAAACTGTAACTTATTTTGTCTGTATAACTCAAGTTTGGAATATTTAAGAAGGTCTGAAACCCAATTTTGAACGTCAGTATCAATACATCTCTGTTAAAATTCAATTAGAAACTGCTGCACGTTGACAACACCTGTCCAGAACCATAAGTAAACAATAAAGTTTTGACTTTTAGTGCCCAGCAATCAAGTTTTTTTCAGCTAAACTAAACTGATACTTATATACATTATACAAAATTACATTATGCAAAGAGCTTGTCAACTATCCATCTGAAATAATTCGGGAACGTATGGCACAAGTCAAAATAGGGAATTCCATCGAACATCATTTTTGTCACTGGTGCATCAAAATTTGAATTGTCGTACACTTTGAAGGCTTTACTGGGACCTTGAATGTTGTATCCTTGATCAAAAACTTCTGAGCAAGAGTGGTATGACGCTCTTTGAAATATTTGTGAAAGTAGCATGCTCGATTGTAAACGCCAGAGGCTGGAGGTGTTGGAATACTGCTCGACTTGAAAGGAAAGTTGAAATCAAATCTTTTGTCATACAGCCTTGTGGAGAGCTTTTTATTCTCGTATTGGCTGCCTGATGCATCGCCTGGAACTACGCTATGTTACCCGTTGAACGTGGATGCAAATGAAAAATCATATTTAACAACTATGCGTGTACTTGAGCCCATTGCCAATATTCCATTCATGTATTATATTACACTAACTGATTTAATTTTGTTTCAGAAACGGGATTTCCGGCGCGCACAATAATGTGTCTGCTTATGTTTGTCATTCTACAGCGTAAGCCTGACTCTTCCATATTTGGTTTTATTTGAAAACGTAAAAGACTACGGGACTAGGTCCAAACATCAAACAAATAAGTTACCGTTTATCGAAAACATCAGATACAACATTCTTGAATTCTTGGTCTTTTATCAAAAGTACAATGATGCCCTCAAAGATTCTCGTCACGTGGTCATAAACCTGTAATCAGAGATGAATGTTCCCTCTCCTGTTTCAAACTGCAGCTGAACCACCGTTTTACGGCCTTAACACCCATGTTTCTGTTCCAGTGTCTGTTCCTGCACATGCACAGGGCCCGTGTCCGAAGGACAAATACGGCAACTGTCTACACGGAAACTGCACCAGGACAGCGGCTGGAAGAACTGAGTGTGCCAAGGGTTGTGTAAGAGGTTTCTGGGGAACCGAATGTCGAATTCCGTGTCCTGAACACTGTGAGGCGTGTAACCGATATGATGGAACATGCTTTATATGTTCAGGTGATGTATATGGGCAATACTGTAACATTACATGTGACGCTATGTGCCACGGATTTCGTTGTAATAAACATGGAAGCTGCTTTAGCCCAACATGCCAGGATAGATGGTACGGGTCCAACTGTAGGAAACAATGCAACCAAACGTTCCTGAAATGTGGCAAAATCGATGGGGAGTGTATAACATGTAAAGATGGCTTCTATGGAATGAACTGTGAATTGGGATGCAATAAATATGGTCTTGCAGAAGTTCAGCTGCAGGAAACGCGCATACCTGGTTGTTCAAACGATAGTCCAACGGATCACGGTGAGTACATAAGAGCATTTCATCGATGTATATTGAAGGCCAACACATGTTTAAGGATTGTTAATGTTAATTGTAATCTTGTTAATGTGCATAGCCCTCAGCATTAACCCTCTGGACTATGGTGTATATGCCCCTCCTTTTTAGCCCTCACTTTGAAGTCGAATAAAATCCAAAACGTATCACGCACACTACACTGTTTTAAATTCTGCGGAAAATTTCCTTTTTCCTGTTTATTGAAAATGAGCTTTCAAAATTGATATCATTTTTTACACATTACAAAATCGCGATTCACAGCGTTATTTGGTGTACATTGTGAAGTGTAAAAGTCGGATAATTACTCGGAGGACTGAATTTCTAAAACAGCATGGTCATGATCACAGATATCCGTTTTTCGTCAAATCACCAAAGGTAATTCTGAAACGTTGCCGATAAATCTTGAATTGGCTAGAATATTTTGGAAAATACAAGAACACAAACACCGAATTGAGCTTACCTTCATATAGAATAGAATTTACAACATCACGTTTCGCGAAGGCCAGTGATGAGACGACCTTTGCATCGCGTATGATTCACACTCAGTTTCGACAAGTACATCACTGAATTACTCATACATTTTAGAATCAAATAACAAATGGTAACCAAAATCAAGTGTCCAGATGAAATCAAAGAAATATATTGGATATGACAACGAACGCTCTGCTCGTAAGCAATCACGTGTTCGGAATGTAAACAAAGTGATTCGTGGGAATATATAGGGAATGAAAAGTAGATACAGTACAATGATTTGATAAATACAAACGAAATTGTCAAAGTTTCCGTGCTGCGTGACGCCATGATTGACCCCGAAAACAAATACCAATACGCAGATAGTCAGAATGTTTCTGATAAAGTACATCACAAAATTATATACAGTATACACGAAGTGCATACGGGCTAACCACATTGTCATTGCCTTCGGCTGCGCCCGAGCAACTGTCATCAGACTGATGCAACGACTAAGACAAACAGACAATACGTCAAACAGGCTTACGAGTGGTCGACCACATGTGACAACGCCCAGTGATGAACGCCACATCCGGACAATCGTTTTGTAACGGCGCCAGGACTCCGTGTCAGTCGACATACGGTGTACCGGTGACCGGTGGTATTCGAGCATGTCGACCCTACTGCGGAGTGCATCCGAGGTCATCGATTGACATGGACCAGGCGAGTTCGACTTGGCAAATGCGTGATTGGCAACGTGTGATGTTCAACGACGAGAGTAGTACTGTAATGACGTCCGGGATCGTGTTTACAGTCGAGCAAGCCCGACCATTTTGAGCCGATAACGTGATGGTGTGGGAACAGATCTGTGGCGATCTCGGAACGAGATGGCAGCCTGAATGCTCGAAGATACAGAGATGATGGTTTGCGACTAGCTGTATTGCCATTTATCAAGCAACAATTGCATTTGCTACCAACACAATAACGCAAGGCCTCACACAGCAAGACTGAGAAACTGGATCAATAAATCATAACACTACAAGCGCCGCCTGGCACCGCTCAACAACTGGAACAATGTCTCCTACAGGAATGGCAACAGATCACGCCGACGTCGATGTTTTGGCCTGTATTGGAGCCAGTGGTGGTCATACTCACTATTGACTCAACATCTGATGACATTTTGCAGAAAAAAACGCCTTGTTGATTTGTGCAAAAGTTCAGACTGTAATTCAATGTCAGTCAAACGGTACTTTCGACTTTTTATGAAATGTAACTGTGTACATTTGCTGTAGAATTGAATACTCTATTGAAATTAATACATTAAATATTTTTTCAAATATTTATAATGGCTGTTCTTATCTACAGCAAATTTTCTCCATGTGACCAAGTGTTAAGCATTGCGCAGTTATGCCACCTTGTTTTGATACATTTTTATACCTCTGTCGTATGTGACGTCAGAGAGGAAAATCACTTTTTGTCATTTATGGCAAGTCATTTGATACATTGAATATATATAGAGATTATTAACCGAGTGTGTTTCTGTATCATTAATATCATATATTCGGAATTTAAAATATGTATTATGCTCTCCAAATGCTGGCATAATACAAATTGTATTCATAATATATGATTTTCACACTCGGTTAATAATCTGTTTATCATATAATGTCATTCTTAAACTTACTCTAAAAAAGAAGAAAATCGTACGTGAAATTATATATGAAGAGAATCGAGCATTCGCGTAAGAATACTTAGCGGTATACAAAGGTGAAGGTCGTTCATGAGGACGGCATATGGTTGAGACTAGTCCATAATACAGTACAAACATAACTCATGCTTAAAATAAGATCTTTCTGTCTAAAAAGAACAACAAAGTCAGGCAGGGTTTTCTTGGTAGTGTTTCTATTTTCATTGCGGGTAATCACCTCATCAATGTCAGTTTCTGATACCTGACTTAATCGATTCGTCGTCTTCTTTGTTGTGATCGATAGATCGAAATCCTTGGTTGGTAGATTTCTTAGACGATAGCCTGTCACTCGTTCCTCATAGTCCGTACCTACAATTTGAAGGAAATTCTCCGTTTCGTGTTTTCCAAAGTCAATTACTGCAGTAACGACTCCAGAACCTCCGTCATCAATTCTTACAGAATCACCAATTTCGATAGTGGGGGGAGCCATGTTTGTTTACAAACTCGTCCACGCAATGTAAACTCGCGACGACATCATCAATGGAATGTTAACGTTTTAGTATTCGCATGGCATATATGGAGTTTTGAGAAAGTAGTTCGTGGATTGACCTAATTTGCATAGTTATCAGATTTGGATACCAAGTTTATCATGTTGCTTTATTGCACCGATAACACCCTCCATTAGATGATAAGACGTTATACATAAGCACACAAATCCATTTCCTACATTGTCATGTCGTTCAGATATAAAGGCAGTATTTATTTGTTTTGTTGGTTTGTTGTTTAACGCCCCACTCAGCAATATACCGGTATGACGGGGGTCTGTAAATAATCGAGTCTGGACAAGACAATCCAGAGATCAACAGCATGTGCAGCGATCTACGCAACAGACCGATCCAGTCCCGGCCGATAAGCCCCGCCCACTTCGTTTTTGACGTTAGGGGGAACAACCACTCACTAATCACAATGGCGTCACCGCAGGCGAAACGTACGTGATTGTGAACGTTGTTGATGAATTCTGCTTGTGGTACTTTGGTATCCGTCGTTTATGAATGATATTTAAAGAGGAAAGTTATACGTATTTTATTTATAATATAGTTTAGTTGACGTATTGTAATTGGCGAGTGAAAATGAGTTACATGCCCGATGAAAAATCTTCTCGACCAGCTGCTGCCGTAGTGGGAAGCGTATTTTCTTTCGAACCAAATATTCTATCTGCCAATTCACGTCCGACTAAAATATTAGCAGGGGAAGGGTAACTGAATTATGTTGTTTGTTTTCTCTCTCAAAACATCCCATCGTAATTTTATATAAACCGTGAACACAACCACATGAGCAAGTTGCAGATTGATTCGGTATCTATAAATAGATTGTTAACACTGCGCGTGGCTCCTTTATTTATTCATCCGTTTTTCAAAATTAGTTAAATCAGTAATGTGAAAACATGGGTTACTACCTTTTAATGAACAAAGTGGAAAAAATATTTCCCGTCTACTTCTTCGTCCACCTTATATGTCTGTATATATTAATGTAAACAAATCAATCACAGCATAACCTATTTGATCTTATTTGGGAATCTGGAGAAGGTGATTGGGCTTGAAAACAGTATGTTTCCATGGATGTATCTGGACATACTCAGAAGCAAATATTCAGCAGCTAATCTGCAGCAATTCTCAGTAATATTTCCCTCTTCAAAATCTGTACACCATCCTAAAATGACACTGAATCCACTTTTTCATTCATCCTGTCCAATTTATTTTTCTATGTGTACTTTGTTGTGAAGTCCTAATTTATTTATCCTCCCACAATTCTGGACTCCATGAACTGCCAGTATTTATGTACAGGTATGTCACACCACCATAACACAAAGGAGATCCAAGATACAGTCTGCACCTGTACACTGACCCATCTTCGAGAAATAGGAAACCTGTGATGCAAACTCTTTGAACAGAAGATCTAGAGTTATCCAAACAATTAACTAGGATTGAAATAGAATGTTACATAAAATACAAATATACTTCTTTTTCTTCAGAGATATTTAACTGCTAACTACTATTGAAATAATTACATATTGACATTATTGCTTCTTAAACAATGGTAATCTTTGTTTTATTATCTCTGAGACCATATCCCTTAGGGGCATAACACTAATTTTGATCTATTTTCTTTTCTGAGATACTTACTAGTGTCATTAAAAATATATTAAAGTTGTTTCAAAATTTGGTAAAAGTCAGGACAAATGTTTAGGAAAACACACACGAAAATGTCCTGAAGCGTTCACGTCCTGCAAACCAGTGGGCAGACCCGTGAAGATCCGGGGTAGAATAGGTCTTCAGCAACCCATGTGCTTGCCATAAAACGGCGACTATCTTGTCGTAAGAGGCGACTAACGGGATCGGGTGGTCAGTTTCGCTGACTTGGTTGACACATGTCATCGGTTCCCAATTGCGCAGATCGATGCTCATGCTGTTGATCACTGGATTGTCTGGTCCAAACTCTTGATTATTGGCGACAGACCGCCGCAAGCATATGGCTGAAGAATATTGCTGAGGATGCGGCAATGTAAAACTATACTCACTCTACTCGACTCCTGACTCACAGCAGTGGGCAATTTAATATGAAGCTCGTTTTCTAATTAACTATCAACAAACCTTGAACAATTTGTCCAAAACCAAAATCTTAATAAACACTACTTTAGCTTAGTCTTCAAATACTGGTAACCTCCTCAAAAGCTCATGATTTGTAAGAAGTATTACTTCAAATCTGGGTTGAATATATGTTTCAATATTCATTCCAGTTACATGAATAGTCAACTGAGAAGTTTGTTAGTTATTATGTTCCAAGACTGAATAATGCCTGACCAGGGTGTGACCAAAACGTAGCCTTTGTTTTTTCAAATTCTCTGGTTGTAAATATATTATTTATAACACCAATGGGAACCTTAAGCAGGAGCCAACAAACTAAGTTAGTACCAAGTTATTGTTCTGTAATGATATGTATAGAGTGTTTGTTTGCCTATTTCTGCCTTAAAATCACATATGACAGTCAATTAAGTAATTATTTATAATTGATTAGATTACTATGTTTTTAATACCTTTCCACGTTTACTAAAAGGACGCAAGATTCTTAAAACATACCTTGCTATCATTGACAGTTATGTTATTACTCCTAAAATGTACCGATGTACCTCCCCATACATGTAAAAAAATTATGTTGTAACAAAATTTCAAAACAAATTATGTTCTCATAGTTAAGAAATACACCTCTAAAAATACCGTCCAATATTCCAGAAAGTCACGATTCTTCTCATATAGTTTTCGTCTCTCCGATCCACATGGAGTAAGTTAATTCAATTCAAGGTCCCATCTCTTTATAGAAATTCTGCAATATTTAAGGCATGGTTTTATAGACACGCATTTGATTTAATTTTGATATTTGGATATTGCGTGATAGGCAACTGCTAACAACTGCTATATTTCCGTTTGAATAGAACAAAAATACTCCTCGAATATTTTGCACTATTAACAGATACAGGAAGCCTTCAGATTGTGCTTTTGAAACTTTAAGAATTCCTAAAATGAGTGACAAATTTAAGAATATCTAAGAGCGAAGGCAACAATATCCACCACATTGTTCTTTAATGTAACATGGTTTGCTATTTCGGTCGAGCCTGACCGAAATCTGATCGCTGTCAGATTTGTTTACTTTGTGTAACGGTTTTCTCGCCTGTCTTATTTCGTACCAACTCAATGCCCAGTATAGACTTAAAAACGTTAAGCAAAAACAATTGTCCGTGTCTATAACACTTGCAAAGTCTAAAACTGCTACTTTTGATGTCATCTATTGGTAATAATTTTGCCGACATTTAACTGATCGTGAGGCCTATCGCATTCCTTGATCCGCCTCAAATCTTTTGTCTTGACCGTAATGGTTTTGTTAAACGTAAACATCAAATCGCAGCAAATGTAATAGATACAGCGAGTGTGAATGTCATTATTCGATGCACATCGCTTCGGAGGCATCGTTTGACCCCGGAAATAAGTCTGACAAATCCACAAAGCGGGTCCGGCCTGCTGATTGGCTAAAATTGACGCATGCACGAAAATTTGATTGACATATTGGATCGGTCTGTTGGGATAGTCAGTGAGCCTGACCTTTCGGTGTACGATAGAATTTTACTGGGTTTTGTTTTGCATAGCAAAATTGTGGACAATATTTCACAATGTCTACTTTTCAAACCGCCTGAGTATTTGTAATGGCATTTATATCATCGGATAGGCTAGTTAATATTCTACATATCCGTGTAAGTAAATAATCGTGGGTAGTTCCAGTGCTGCCTCGAACGGAATTCTCGTACAACGTTCACTTTGCAGATCTTATGACACCCTTGGCATATAATAACATAAATAATAATTTTCCTGAGTAGTCCAGATTAGAATGTTCTTTCCTGCTTATACGTTTTAAACATCAATAACTATCTATTTACAAGTTCGAAAATGTCCCTGGTTACATTTTGATACCCTGAATAGTGTAGACGTAATACATTAGTCGAATGTAACACGAGTTAATATCTGTTTTAAGATAAGATAGAGAACATGTAACTTTATTATCCCAGAGGAAATCCTTTTTGCACCAAAACGGTCTCAAAATAAATATACCCATGCCAATAATGGTTGTCACCCCCTTCAATTTTATTAATAGGCGGGGGGTGACAACTATTATTGGCATGAGTATATAAACACAAACTATATACACAATCATTCCATGCACAAAATGAATGCTGGTTACACAAACTGTACAGTATCATACACAATACAATTAACCACATAGGTAAAGAGGCTGAATAATTCCAGTAGTTATCACATAATGATGATTCAAAACATTTGTTTGATAAACGAATACTGGATGGTATGAAAGACTGTCGAGCTCTCTTTTGAGGGAAGGAAATCGATAGCGGCGTCCAGAAGGAAGTAGTTCAAAATGATAAGATAAAATATGGAAACTATCATTTTTAATTTTAGTTTCCCTTTTGGCAATCTGGCGCTTATAGAAAAAGTCAATAAACTCGAAGACACTCGAGCAATTTTGCTGACTGTACTTTGTGTTACCACTCGTTTAATTTTTGTCATTGTTACACTGGCCATAATTCGATTCATTATAACATCAGCATTTAAAATGGGAACATTTTGTCTAAGGTTAAGAAAGGTTCCTGATTCTTTTGGGTTCTATGTAGACACATAGGCCAAATTGATAGTCTTAATGTTTGCTTATAACGGTGTTTTAATCGTGTCTTTCTGCCTGTGGCTCTTGTTTTATTTATTCCATCTTCTGCAAGTAAAATCGTGTATGGATCCACGGGAGTGTCGATACGAATTCAATGCCTTTTAGACATATTTGACGCATCACGTAAACATGTCTTCTAAATTATATGGAATGCTTATTTTGTATCATTCGGGTGAAAAAAAATGAAATATGGATATTGCTTAGTATGTATTGATTTATAGTATATATCTCTTTCAAGGTTACGTCCACTGTTTTACCATGGTCTCCAAACATGGAACTTCCGAGTGACTAGAGGCAATGGTAACATCCAGATGTTTGTTCAAATTGTGTAGAAAGCTATGAAACCGAGTTGATTTGTTGTTTTCAAATGGAAACGTGGCAAAATTGTACACTTCATGTCCTAGATTTCAAATGTTCTCTTATACTTTATGTACATAAATATTTGAAGATCCTGGTTAAAATTGTCCTTGAGCAACCATGCTTGTCGCATGAGGCGACTAACGGGATCGGGTAGTCGCTGCTCGCTCGCTGACTTCGTTGTCACATGCCACCGTATCCCAAATGCGTAGATCGATGCTCAAGATGTTGATCACTGGATTGTTTGGTCCAGATAAATTACAGACCACCGCCACTGTGAAAACTGGCATATTGCTGAGTTTGGCGTTAAAAAACAAACTATGTAAGTAACTAACTATGTCTAATTGTCATTGGATATCAGTTGGCTGAGACACAAAAACATACTCACGCACACACGCACATAAACTAAGAAATGTCGTCATAACGGTGCATCAGTCTTGAACGCGACGTTTATCCCCACTTCAAGCCACCTCACTACACAACTATAACATTTTGAGCATCTTCCTACATGAATGTACTGGACTCAGAAGGCTACCGTAATTGTAATACTTAAGGTGTGTGGTCTTGGTTGTACAGTTGGAGAACTGGAACTTCTAACGACGTAAATAAATATATATTTAAAGTACCGCAAATCATCAAAAGTTTAGACTCACTAGTGTAAATGTAGCCGCTTACTTCAGGCAACTGTTCTTGACTAAATTTTCCAAAATATGCCATATTGTTTAAAGGCACTGTTCACACATGAACTGATGTATTGTAAAACAAATTTGTAACGTTGAAAAGATTATTGTCATGAGTTCAGTAAATGATGAAAATCAGTGAAATTGGCGAATTCTTAACAAACCTTTACACCACATTGCAGCTGTTCACATGCACGATATTTGCACATGCTTCTCTGGAATTTGATGCATGATCCTCGTGCAGTTCAGTTCCATAAGGTTTGCAGTTGGTTCCCCCAAGTTAGTGAAGTAATCAATCTTCGATTTAACCGTATGTATATACATAACAAATAGTGAGTGTTGTAAATGAGTGTAAACTTTTGAAGGGAAGTATATGTCAGACATCATGAGTTCCAGTTAACGACTTGACATCTTTAACGTATCATTGTTTTGATGTTTAGAAAGCGGGAAACCTTGACCTTACAAACATGGATATATACCTTCGACTGCAAGCAAAAGAAAGCATGCATCGCGTAACCATCGTCTCTGTAAAGTAAAATCAAACTACAACGCACTTGAATAACTGTTGCAAAGCTGTTATGATAATCAGGTGTTTGGTTTTCATTTTCCAGTCAGGTGAAGATAACTCATACTTTCCCGTCTCGTCACCCTATATCACTTCTGAGAAATACTTATGTTTGACAGTGTTATGTGTTACCATAACCTTGTTTTATATTCAGGAAAATATATTAACACAGAGATCGGACTTTCCCCACCATAACTAACAAGCCGTTGCAATGCTAATTTATCTGAAAAATAACAGTCCCGTATCTAAAATTTGACAACAATTAAAGATAACTCACTCCGAGCGTTCCTTGCTTATGAGTTCATAATTGGCAAACAGGAATTTGAAATAAAGAATCTTATTGATAAATATCTCATCTTTCTTGGACAGTGTATCCCTTTTAGGAACAGGATGTTTCCTATTTCCATTGTCGTATTCTGCTTCACTAACCAGTAAGTATTTGTTTACAATTTCAGAACTCGAAGGCTATCACATGTGCACTGGTAAACTCATTAACTGTATCAATGACAACTGCACCCGAACACAATCTGTTACAACCGTATGTGCTGCAGGTTGTGTTGAGGGATTTTGGGGTACGAGTTGTAGAATTCCATGTCCAGAAAACTGCCAAACATGTGAACGCCTTGTGGGAAACTGCACGAAGTGCAAGGATAATCTATATGGAATATTCTGTAACATCGCATGTCAAGAACAGTGCCATGAATGCCGATGTAACCAGGCAGGTACATGCTCCGATACAGTATGTACTGATGGAAGATATGGTGATGAATGTATCCGAGAGTGTCGAGAAAGGTACAAGGCTTGCAACAGATACACAGGACTCATGTGCGAGGACAATGACTTCGAAAAAAGTGAGTGTTCATATTTGTCGAAATGAAACGATTAGTAAGTATGCCATCTCGATGTTTAGAGATATTTTGTGTCTGTTCCATTGAATGTGCACATTGATTAATCTTTGGGGCTTCCTTGCTGACTTCACTCCAAAGACAAAATGTTTCACTATTTGGATTATAACCGTTGAAAATATGCGTTAGACCTTTAAGGAAAATATATGGTTGTCTTATGTCTTAAGTTTCAATGAAAAGCATTAAGACGTTTTGTACATATTACAACTTTGTAGATGTAATGTAACGACTTTATAGATGCAGTGTAACGAATGTACGTCAAATGGCATTATGACTGTAGTAGTAAGGGTTTTTTATCTGTATTTATCCTGCGTCCCTACCATCTACTTGCTGAGGTAACAAATCAACAGTATCACTAGACAAAGTGGTTTGATGGGAATGTGTCTGATCTGACTTCATTTGATTGTCATTAAGTCTATGACTATGATCATGACTATATGTTCGAAAGTTTCTGTTTGAAAGCAACCGTCGGAGTCGCACAATTTCAATTTTCATAATTATGGAAAGAGTTCCTTTCTCACAAAAATGAATAACTGTTTAGCACAACATCCATCCACGTGGCTAATGATAACATAGATGTATAAATCTGTATAATCAATCAATGTAATATATATATATATATATGTATACAAGTTAGAGCAACTTTACGGAAAGACTGTAGTTCATTGAAATGAAAGGTAGAAAAAGAACTACTCTTTGTATATATAATAACTTACTCTTTTGGTTTTGATATATAATAAAAATTCTTAGCCTAGAATGACTTTTAGATTTACAATAGTATCATAACGAGTGCTGGTTGAGTGTAGGAGTGACCCAACCTGGTAATACATATATTTTACATGTTGTTTAAAGGTTAAATACATCTGTACAACCAACCCCAATCAAAAGCTCATGCATAGAAATCCTAAACATATCACATCTGAACTCCGTTTAAGTCTTTCTACAACATCTAAGTTGTATAACATCGCATATGGGCGTGGGGTGAAAATATGTTTTAACCAGTATTTGATACGTTTAACAGAGGATATCTGCTGCATTCTCCAAGTGCCATTATAGTGCTTATTCCTGTACATAAATACTGAATGCAAGGTAAACAGTAATCTCTTCTGAACACATTAATGTTGATTTCGGCATATTAATACTCAGCTCGACAGTGGATGTAAACCCTTGACATTGTCGGGCATGAGAATAACCTCATCAGCAAACAGCAGAAGGAATACGTCATATAATAGAAACAAACGACTATTGATGGATTTCCACTGCATTCTGCACCTACTGTTTAATGGAGTCCTCATGGTTTCGCAGTCACTCGAAGTCGTCACGTAGAGATTTCACTTCATGTTTTACTTAATTTTAAATCTTAATCAACTCCCTGTAAAACAGACTATGGGGTGCTTTTCTTATTTGATATTTGCCTTTGCCATGTGACGTATATTTCTATTTAGAAAAGTGTCAAACTGTTTCCACCGCAAACCAGCAGTGTTTATCTAAATCTTTACAAATCATTAAAGATGAACCAAGAAATTGTTAGGGACGAAACTGCATCATGATACCATTTAATCACCGCACAAATAATAAGCTTTATACTGTAAAATAGCAATACAATGGGCAAAGGTGGCAGCAGAAGAGTAACATAGCGTAAAATATGAGAGCAAGCACTCATAAAAGTCAGAATTGTCATTATTGAAACTATCGTGTTATGTTCTTAAAATCGGAGCAGTGAAAATCGGTGGTTTCAAGTATCCCATCAATGCAAGCTGAGACAGGTTAGGCCTCAAACCTCAAGTTTGTCATGTTTCTGAACAAACAGGGAAGGTAACGCTAATCATGCATCATTTTATAGCATGTCAAGCACTCGACAGTTTACGAGCGTTTAGTAATTCGGTGCCACTGAAGTATTTATTTATAAAGGAATCCGTGGCCGCAAACTTAGTTGTTTCAATGAAAGGCAGTTATTGTAGCTGCAATCTCTGTTGACTTTTATAAACTTTTGTGAACTTACATTTCTATAACATTTCTATATCAATACATTTCGGTTGTTTGTATTATCTATTGACAAAAGACAATCAGGTAAAAGTCTTTATCATAGCCCTATCACGCATTTGGACGTTTGTGTAAACGTTTGTCGAGTTTACGTAGAAGAGATGTACTTATCTAAACAACAAGGACATGTCTGTACATTTGTACATTGTAGTACATGTATAATAGTATCATCCGTACAATATAACGCATGGTTTGGTTCATCACACAGACCCGGATAGACTAGAAGAAGCAGTCAAACAAAAGTGTCCTGATGCATGTTGGCACATTGACGACCATTACAGTCCGTTTGAGTTAGAAACGGACCGATGAATTGCACATTTTATCATTGTACAAAATTGCCACATAAATATAAATAGTACACATGTTTATCATTTACTAATACCCAGCAGCTTTCTTATATTTGAAAATTTTCCGGACTCCACCCAAAAAGTTGTTTAAGAAACTATCATTCATTGAAAACGCTAAAGTTGGTATCTGTCGCGGCGGGGTGAAATCGCAGAAACGGAACAGCCACCATCTCGTCGTGAGATTTCATTATGCTTCATCTCCCGATGTATGTCCCCATTCTTCCGTTTGGATGTCGAATGCAGCTGAATAATAGTGCGACAAAAACGTATCACAATGTGTGAACGTGCCAAATGCGTTTGTATGATTAAACAACACCCTAATCATTTTTTTTTCAGTAATAGTGACCAGTTTTGATGATGATATCCCTATTGGCTATTATTCTGCCTGTTCCTGATATGTATCCGACTTAGGTAAGTGGACATTTTTCAGTTACAGACATAAACTGTAAAGTATAAAGTGTAGAGAGTAAGTGTAGTTCAAGCTTTCGGGTTCATCAAAATCGCGATCAGCACTGTCTGCCGTAGCGATTGTGTGTTGGTATTCAAGTAAATGTGTATATTTCGCATCTAGATTGTTGAAGATGTTAAAGACTGTTTACAGGAGTTGTTTGCAAAACATATAGTGATGATGATGTAGAAGTAATTGCTGGGATCCTGATGTACATTTGCATAAAAGGCCTTCGGACCCAATACATGGAGATGCAAAAACAATATTCAGACATCTTTGATTATGGTCTGATATAACTACTACTAAACGCTATTATCATGGTATTACATTATCTATTATTCAATACCAGCATGTCACTTGAAATCAAAATGAATTAATTTGTCATCAACACTAGTGAATGCAGTTACGATACGATGAAACACACTATAAACTGTGATGACTGTATTTTTATGTAAATGTCCGTTGTGTGTCGTATTTTGTATGTGTCTATAATCTATGCTATCTCGTTGAATATGTTTTCGAAACAGGTGAGTTCTGTCTTACATGTAAATAAACTCTTCAAAAAAAAGAAGATGGAAACGAAAAATATGGAAATGTATTACATGGTTTTAAATGTACATACGTCGGTTAACCATGGACATAAATGAGTGAGTGAGTTTAGTTTTATGCCGCACTCAGTAATATTCCAGCTATATGGCGGTAGTCTGTATATAATCGAGTCTGGACCAGACTGTCCAGTGATCAACACCATGAAACATAGATGAAGGAAATTTGACGGATGAACATGTGTAATGTTGTTATTGTCAGCATTACTTCAGTTCACTCACTGCACATGTGTGGACACAAAGAGGCGTTGAGGCCAATACCTGGTAACGCTCACTCCACCAACATCAGTCCACCTGTCGAACACAGTTCGGCGCGAAACGTTCGTGTCGACACGCTGTCTTCCATCCAGTCATTGCTGGAGGAAACGTCGTCATCGGAGTATTCATGTCGGGACAGGTCCAACTTTGGTAGATATGCTCGAATTCCTACTTCTCCAGATGATTTCTGATGGTTTGATCGTAAATTCTTCGAAGACAAGGCACCTGTCCTACAGTGTCCACTGCTGTAGCAAATCGGTGACGTATGTGAAACATCCGGATGTATGGGTCCTGAGCAGAATTGGTCAGTCTTGATCTTTCACATCTGGGGCGATCCTTAGTCGATTTCAAGCGAGTGTATCGATGCCATAATCGAGATATAGTGCTGTGGTGGACGGTGAGGTGTCTTGCAACGGCAGACTGTGACTCCTTCCAAACGTCAATGACGATCTTCATTTCGTAATGAAATGATGAATTTGATTTGGCCTTTTAGAGTCGATGTCTCTACTTATGTGTCCAACACATTGCACGTGCATTACGTGGACAACCTTTTCTGCATGCACTCTTCATGTATCGTTTTCATTTTCTATGACAAACGTTTACAGCTATATGTTGCGAACAACCACATGATTAACGTGATCCAAACATAGGACTTGTCTTAATGACGATTGATGTCAAACTATATCGAAACGAACTGCTGATAACGCCTGTGGGAATCTTTGTTTGAAAAGTGTGTTACGGCTAATAAATTGCCGTGACAATAGGTTTAAGAGCCCCCTTTGAACCAGCAAAATATAACACAGACAAGTCTAAAATATTCAATAATATATTGAGCAAACAATGAGCGAGCTACAATGAATGACAATACAGATATTTAGTACAATGCAATTGAGTCACAAATCTAAAGTAATGGGTCACAAATATGAAATATTAACTCACCAGAGTCTCGGCATTTACAATGAGAGCAGATATTCTAACTGAAGGTAGTTTACAATCAGATCAGTGAGGCTCGCACTGTCTTGACTGTAGGTCAGACGATGACAGACAGATGTACACAACTCCAGTGATATGAAAAGTCCCGTGTAATTCCGTGTGTGTGTGTCAACACAATAAGCAGCCTTTATATATACTGTCACAGTGTCTAGAGCATTCTAGCAAAGTTAGGCTGTATCATTATTCTCTCAGAACTTTATGGAAATCTGTGGAACGTACCACCGGTAAAAACAGAAATAAAGCCAAGGGAGGCAACTCTGGAGCGCTATCTCAAAAGGCGTGCTGCTAAAATACTATAGCCATTGAACATATATGATACGTAATGTGACCCACAACCCACACTCAAAACTCTAAACTTTGTGACCCAATAACAACTATCACTTAAACAATGATAATACAATTTAACAAAAAACACACTCTGGTAACAAGTGTACATAGTTATGTTTTGCAGCAGTTTTGAATTCACTTGAAACACCTACAGTAATACGAATTTCATTACTATGTAGACAAAATTAATAATATACCTTTTAAACAGACAAAGGAATGCAGTTACATTTAGGTTACTAGTAATGTCACACCAAACGACTGATTGTAAGTGTATTTATATTATTGTTTCGTTGTTTCATGAGGGTGTCGTCTTTTGGATGCTGTACCGGACGTATGCAGGTATCTCATCAAGAAAATTATGTATTCGACTACAAGACCTGCGGATCTACTAAAGAGACGTGAGTTCTACCTTACATGTAAATACATAGTGATGTTTTGCAGCAGGTTGGAGTTCATTTGAAACACCGACAGTAAATATGATAAACTTTTAAACTGTCATTATTATGTGACTGAGCGAGTGAGTTTAGTTTTACGCCAGAATCAGCAATATTCCAGCTATATGGCGGCGGTCTGTAAATAATCGGGTCTGGACCATCGATCTGCGCAAATTGAGAACCGATAACATGGGTCAACCACGTCAGTGAGCCTGACCACCCGATCCCGTTAGTCGCCTCTTACGACAAGCATGGGTTACTGAAGATCAGTATTCTAACCCGGACCTTCACGGGTCCATTATTACGTAGCCACAGATGGCATATTTCATAACTGCGCAATTCGTGTTCAGGCTTGCGTCCCTTGGACACGCCAAACCTGTGATTATGAGTCCTTATCTCTAAGTTTAGCAAAGCACCATGCTCTTACTGTGTTTGAAAACACTGTGTTTCGTTAAACCAAAATTGCATCACTTCATGATTTCTAATCACATTAGGTGACACGTCCTGATATGACTCGAAAACTCGTAAACCCAACTCACACACTCACATTATTTATTCTATTGAGGCCATAAGTGGTTTTGGAAACCAGGGATACAAGGAAACCCACGCACTATTGGTCGAACAGCATAAAGGTCAAATTCCAAACTATTGGTTTACCAACCGTAATGGCAATACATGTGTAGAGCAAAACCGACTCATGTGTTCCATATTCAGGTTTATGCATGATATGATCACTGACTTAGAGGCATGAACTCTGTCAACAAGGCTGTATGGAAATAGCAGTCATTTCTTCTTTCCAATTCCAGGTACGACTGAGCGTGCTCTTTCTGCGAAGGTGCCCTGTGCCATATTCGGAGAATTAGTGCAGGGGCTTGTGTAAATCCGTTGGAATTTCATGTTAATTTTTGGAACCAATACTAATTGTAATCACCATTGTGTATGGATTCAGGAAAAACATGGTTCCATTTTTTCTGTTTGCTATAAATGTCATTGTGGGGTGATTGAATATGAGTTTCCAAAATTGCTTGCCGCACCATTTCGAGAAAAACATGTTTTCATAAACCTATCACAACATAGTCATGCAGCATATCAACAGGCAGCTTATGATGTATGATATAGAGATAACCACATAATATGCTTCTAATTTCAATATGGTGACATAAAATATGACATAATCATTAAATTTAATCAAATATTGCCTTTCCTTCATCGGACACCATCGGTATTGGCCTATATTAATGGAAACCATTTAATTCAATTAATGTATTCTCCCATTTCATAATATATACTACCATACAACTACTATGTAGTAATAATAGTTCCCAGGTAAGGTTAGTGTGACTATCATCATTGTGCACAAGTGTCAAATCAGGACTACCAGTACAGTGAGAATTGACACACTGACACTCGTGTCTGGGTAATTAAATGACAAATGACATAAAAACCAAATCTGCAGTACATATAAAGTGAATGTATTAATACATTTGAGTGACAAATTATATCACAGTGAACAGATAACTACGTATTACAAGTGGGATATGCAAGGGCAATATATAATGTGCACTAGTATATCTATTTTAACTTTCACATTGTTAAGTAACTTGCACAGTCAATCAATTCGTCATTAACCTGCAAGAACAAAATATGCTGTTGAAATACAAGCTTCGACATTATTTGTCATACAAACACAAGCATGAATTCTACGCATATATTTTCTTAATTTGGAAACTAGAAGGGCCGTCGTTAGAGAACATTGCACAGCAATCTCCTTTCACTATTACATTTTTAAAGTACTACTGAGTACTTGTACTTAAATGTACTTTCACCAAACCGTACGCAGATAGCCCTTGTGTCATACCTAACATAACAAGCAAGATTCATTCAAATCCATCCATAACATTTTGAGATATTATACATATTCTCCATTTATTTAACATTGCGATTATTTTCAAAGTACCTCTGTGTGCATGTACTTTAACATACACTCTTCAAAAAGGAAAAAAAAAAGAAACGCAAAATAAACTTTGTACGCATATGTGAAATTAAGCATGCTTTGAGGGTTGAATATTGTCGTTAGTATGGTTTAGAAGAACCTGCGTGAACAAATGCAACCACAAACAAATTGATTTTGAATGGTTTTATCGATCATGATTGTCATGATAAGCTTGTCTGTTACGGAACACAACCAAAAGCCGCAATTATTGCTTTTCACGTGGAAAGCATGAGTACAACCTAAGACCCAAATGCATATCGCAAATTCATCCAAGAACCTTCAGCATTCACCCCAGCACAATAACTCGTTTGTCGG